ATGGGATTGGAGAATCATCCAAGCCACCTCCGACCGTGTCAAAATCGTCGGAAAACGCTGCACCCATAGCAGCGTCAACATCAACTTCTCAGCCAAAAGCTGCCACAAAAGCAGAGTGTCCCCTAGAGTTTCGACCAATTGTCGAAGCTGAACAACGACGTGCCGCCGAAACAGCGGCAAATCTGGCCCTCTGTTCCGCCGCCATCTCTGGCGTCGAAGCCATCCTCCTCCCTTTGACCAACGGGTCAAATAGACAATTCGTAGACTCGATGAGAGTCTACTTACGCGCCGCCATTGCGCAATACATAGCCTCGGGCCCGGCCACTACGCCACCCGTTCTCCCTCCTCGCCTGGCGAACCCAACCCCAAGGACTCCCGAAGCCAGGAGTAACACAACTCCCGCCGTCCCAGTTCTGCCTGTCAAAAGCACCTGGGCCATAGTGGCCAGAAATTGACTGCAACAGAGAGCAGTCCCAACTGTAAAGGCTGTGCCGCGACCTGCGGCCAAAGCTCCAAAGAAAGAAGCTCCCAAGGCGAAATTCGACAAACGACTGTTCCTTCGCCTAGAAAAGGAGCACCTGTGGCGCCAGCTTTCGCCTGCTGGCCTATGGCAACAATTATAGAGTGAGCTAAATTGCTTCTTGAGTGACGCCTGCTCTATATACCGTGTCAGAATCGCAAAGCCGGTTCTGACAGGGAATGAAAAGAAAAGGGAAGAGCTCCTAGATGCCGCACCAAAGTTTTCGGACCACAATGCAAAGCTCGAGGAAGCCTCCACCCTTGTCGCCTTTCGGATCGCGAATGTTCCGGCGACCGTAAAAACAATCAACTATATTCATACGGTCGATGCTGAGTGGATCTCATTGGAGATCTACCGAAAAACACATAAGCTTCCACACCAGGTGCTACCGCACGGGACATGCCGTCCTAAAGCGCCGTACAGAAATTGGAAAGCCCTTTTCACCCGAGACAATGCCTCTCGCCCGGGCTTCCGCATTTTCGACGAGGCTGGTATGGCTACCATTCACAAGTCTCGTCCACAAATTGAACAGTACAAACGCTGTTTGGGCTTCCACGCCACCCGTAGTTGCTCCCGCGCTCCAGCCTGCTGGAACTGCGGATCTAACATGCACTCGGAAGCCGAGTGCAAGGTCCTCACTAAGTGTCATAATTTTGGGGGACCGGTGACAAAAGAGCAGCTCGCGTGGATCCACCACATAGAACAAGGGGAGTTCTCAAAGGTGGCACGAGCACGAGCAGCAGCAAAAAAGGCCGAAGAGGCGATCATCGCCGCTGCGAAGGACGTCTCGAGGGCCGAGGCTACAGGTTTCGGAGCACTGGAAGCGGAAGAAGAAGTTTGAGGACACAGCAACCTCGACGATGTCCATTTTTGGGCATCTAATAACCAATAGCAGGATACCGGCTGGATCAAAGGTGCCTGCTAACTTATCTCTTGCTCTCAGCGGAGAATGAGTAAATTTTTCATTTGGAAGGTGTGACGGACGACGGAATGTGTGAGGAGCACATTGGCTGGGTCCAACGTGAAGGAATCTTCTGGTATTCGGAGTTGTTTTGATTTTTGTGATTTTTCGTTCTTGTTCAATCAGCTGCACTTTTGGTAGCGATTCACGAGGTTGGAACGAGTTAGGCTGTAGGAAAAGTTACAGGGAACCCTGCCGGATCCGCCGTTCCTTGACCCTATGTGGACAAAGAGCTTTAGCTTAGGACCAAAAGTATAAAAAAAAAAAAACTCGCTTGTGCCCACAAGATAAGGATAGGCTCTATAGCCTTCAATAGCCCAGCTACAACCAACCGGGCCCATCTCGCAACAAAGTGAGTGGAATTAATGCCATGGCCAGTTGGGAGAGAGTGGAGGTTATTATCATCATGAATACATAATTTGACAGCCAAGTATGGCACGGTAACGGGAGATTTGAATCGGGTCTCGTTTGTGGTGGGTGAGACAAAATATGAAAGGTAGACGATTTTCATTTTTCTAATGTAATGCAGAATTCGCGGTGAAGTCTTTTTTTTTCTTTTTTTTTTTTTATTCTAGACTGCTGACTCACCTTGATCCAACACATAAATAAGTTTCGGCATGGTTCTGGTCATTCAGGTAGGACGAGGCTTAATTTGTACTTTACAATAGTAGACCTGGTCTGGCCCGGCCTCACTTGTGCTCAAGCTCCTATAAGGGAGGGCAAGAATGAAAACCTGTACGCGGTGTCCTCTACGAACCTGGGAGTATAATGTTCTCCCAAAGCCAAGTTCAGTCAAATTTCGCAATATCAATGAAGTTGGCCCACGAGGCAATGATTAAAAACACCCCACCGAGTCAAATTTCCACTCCAAACGAGTTCGACTCCTACCTAAGTCTCATCAAGTCTACAAGTACGACCTAGTACATTCTCATCCCTATGACCACACCTCTCTCCGACCTTCTCTGGCCTCAGTTGACCACCAAATACACGCCCACGCCGATATTTATACCCGATGGAGGAAGCAAAGCGTGGCGCACAAATCTGGGAGACAGTTCTTTGGGATGGATGTGAGAGGATTCAGGACAAGTTCACAAGATGATGCAAAGGACGGATACAATCTCGATAGGCGTGAAATTTTGAACTTTGGCAAGGAGTATTTACAAATTGAGCTTTGTATGCGCCAAAACTTCGGTTGTGAGAGTGCAGCTGACACTATAAACACAAGTCAATGATGGAAGGCGCCGTAGTCCGCCTTCTTGAGGTGTTCTCTGGTATAGTTTGAGTAGCCTGGGCACCTACTTCACTTGGGAAGAAGACTCCTCAGATCACATTTCGCGCGGAGAAAAGTTAATAGATGACAGAGGCATGTCTGGAAAACTCAGGGTTTTTGAGACGTTCCCCTGAGTGGGTATTCACGAATGAGGGTTTACTTTGGATGAAGAAAAAGCCACCATAACTTCGCAGTAGTACTTGCAAATGAAATCTGAGGCATGAGTGCTCTATTTGTATATTGAGTCATCTATTCTGTACTTTTTCCCTGATATTTTGTAATAGCTAGAGAGCTGCACAAAATGAAATCCGATAAAAAAATGACCTAGCTCTCCTACCGTCATTCACACACGGATATCTCATTACTCACCAGCACAATTAGTCGTCACTCACAAGGTAATACATGAGCGAGTATTAGACCATTAGGTTATCGAATAATAGTTCTCACGAGTGAAACAAGTGCCGCAGGCTCTAACCGCCTCTCTAAGAGTACAACGTCCACGTGAAGGGATGGATGTCAGCATGTATTCGTGTTCCTCTTGATAGCTGGAATATGAGGTAGCTGTCTTGTCGCTAGGGGCAAATCTACAAATAAATGATCATAAGACACATAGTCGGTCGATAATCCGGATTCCCCCAGCGTGCTCAGGTACTCTTTAGCACGTACGCTGAGGTTGTACGAATCGATTAAATCGGGTGTGCGCACGATTCTTAGATACTGGCTCATTGGTCGGCGCCTGGCAGAAGAAGGCTAGACCATCTCCATGGCCTGGAAGTTGGTGTGGCGAGGAGCAATGAGAGGTGCCGGCGTGCCCTGCACGGACCACTCATCAGGCTGTTGTAGTAGCGCGAACTCCGAGTCTCACTAGTCGGCACCGGCGAGAATCCAAGTTGGCGGACTGCGATTGATCGAGCGAGGTGATCCACGATCGATGTGAATAACGAGGATGCGTGGCATTGCAAGACTAGAGCGCTGTTTTCGATACCGCAAGCAGCCGTAATTTGGATGTCATGAGTCCGCTGTCCGGTGTCGCGAGCTCTCGAAATAATAGAGAGCCCTACCCACATCAATTGCGGCACTCGTACACTGGATAGCGAGCCTCCGGCGGATACTCACCTATGAGTGCCTACTGCGCGTCGTCAACAAACATACCCCGTAGTAGTGGCAGGATTGGGCGCAAGAGTGTCGCTGAGACTTAGACTTTCATCCAACACACACAAGTCGCTTTAGGCGCGTCATAACTGTAGAGCTGGATACCCATCAAACGGTGATAGAGAATTAATTCAAGCCGCTTCGATCCGATAGCTAACCTCTGCATTCTATCGCTCGACGCCACTGGTATCTCTCAGCCACGTGGCGAATGAGGCTCGATTGGTTCGGGTGATTTCGAAGGTCCGAGGCCTCGCGGGGCTTCGATGTCGGCTGCGGCAGAGGTGCCGTACGACAAGCTTCTAGTCGGAGAAAATAAAAGTGGCACTCGTTACTACAAACAGCCGAGCCGAAACGCGGTCTGTGAGCTACAAGGATCACAGTGCAGACGATAAGCCACAGGCCTTACTAGGGATGATATGTGGCGGTGTGGTGCAGTCCTTCCGGCTAAATTTGGTGCAAACCGAATTAAGTGGATATTATTATTAATTCATTTTATTGTCCTGTCTGAGTCTATGACTATGTAGGACATGCAGGTCCTCTCTGCCTACAGGCTAAGGATACCTATACCAGTAAAGTGGATATTAAAATGGTGCGTATCATTGAACATGTCAGCGTAATCTGAGGCTGGCTTAAACCATGATCTCTAAAATTTATTGGTCCACCATTATAGAGATCTAAGCACACGCATTGGTTTGGGTGGCTCATGGCAGATAAGTAAGCCGGCAAAACTACATTTCAACCCACAGACGCATGTCATTTTATTCTATTCTATCCGAGATTAGCAACTGGTCAAGGCCACCACCCTCCTGCATGCGTCACTTCTATCAATGCAAATGACTAATGCTCGTCTACTGCATGACCACAAGATGACCTACAGAGAATTTTTAAGCTCTTTGTCAACAAATCAGAAGTTGGGTGCTCCATGTTCTATCGATTATCTACCATAGTATCAAGGAAATTATACAAATGAACGGATTTTATCTAACTAATTAATGCTATAATTCCCATAAATTTGTACACGATTACCCAATTTTAAACACCTCCCTGTATGCCGTACGATTCCGTAGATGTAAGTTAATATATATTCAAAGATTTTATTAGATTCGGGCCAAGACAAATTTGGCAGCAGAGGTAGCGTCTTTAGAATATGTCAAATGAGGATCAGGTCCTCCAGATCCTGTACAGATTATGTCTCCATCGTGGCATATTTCCAATACAGAGGTTGGTGAGACCTGGCCAACAGGTTTGTCAGTGTATGGGTCTCCGAAGAGTACAACTAAGTTATATTAGCAAAGAGATGATATCTTTAGAGAAGGGGAATCCGTACCAGCGGCAATTCTGGATGTGACAAGAGGTGAATATAATTGGGCGGCATTGTGTGTAATCTGAGCTCCTTGAGAGTAGCCACCGATTACAATTTTTGAATCTGGACACTGTGTGACGGCTTGATTCGTGATAGTAAGGTAGTTTTGACTTCCTTCGGGATCTCCACCCACAAGATAACTATTTCTTTGTTAGCCTTTAAATATTTATGTCCCATCTCACATCCAAACGTACCCAAAGACATCAGCTTCGTATTGTACACCCTGCACAGCAATCTTATCTTCACCGATGGCATTTCTTAGCTCAGAGAACCAAGCCGGACCAGGACTGCTACCATCGCCCACATTTCCATTCTCACCAGTCCCTTTGGCGAATATGAGTATGATTGGTTTGCAGCTTCCGGTGAGACCGTTTTCAGTGGCATTCGCGGGTAGTGCAGTAGGATTGAAGAAAGAGGCCTTATTAATAGCAGCGATATGTTGCATAGAACTTGCCTGCATAGACGTAACGGTGACATTAGCGACAGGTGCTGCGGTGACTATGCAGAGAATAGAGACCAAGGAAAGGAAAGAAAAGAATGTGAGGGACATCATGGTGCGGTATTCGAACCGATATCTCCTAGCGGACGCGATGAAGGACCTGTGGTTGAAGCCAAATGATGCGGGGCAACTGGATCTTTGTATTGAGGAAGTTGGAAGATTATATATGCCCAAACCTACCACTGACGTGGCCGCGCTGAAATTTGATATCGGTATGCTTTTCAACATGTGCCGTGCATGATTTGCCTTCCAGGCCTTCAATACTCTCTGACAAACGAGATGTGTGTGTAGAGAATGTGTTTGAAGGCTCTCCATGGTTCTTCCGCACGGATACGCCACTCCCTAGACCGACCCCAGATCTCGATCAATACTTGTCTACGACAGTGGGCATAACGTCAGTCAGCAATTTTGCAGTCGAGTTCCTGCTTACCGAAATCTGTTGCCTGACGTATCAAAACTATCGCATATTTCTGTTGTAAGAGGCTGGCGATAGGGAATTAGCCTGCCTGGATACTAGGAGCTTCCACTGGCTCTATGGGGTAATATTGGCTGACTAATCATCTTCCAGGGAACACCCGCTGGTCGAGACGACACAATTGACGTTTCACCGTTCTCAGCCTCCATGTGGCCCACGCCTTCGACTTCTTTGATACCCGGCCCCTGATCATGATGAGATCCCCACGCACTCTACCCGGAGCTATGAGAGCTCGAATATTCGCCAGCTCCGTGGTCTTGGTGGCAAACGTCGGATTTTTGGAGGCATTATCGAGAAAGAGCGGGGCCTAGATTGTGCTTACTTTTCTCTAGAGGCCGCCAGCAGCCTAGAATCGTCTGATTCCTTCCTCTGGAGTGCACCGATTTATTTTCCATTAACTGGCAGGCCCAGCGTATGAGGCCTGGGTATGTGCAGAACGAAAATAAGGCCCCTGGCCGAGCTAGCTGTGTAGATCCTCCACCTTCATCTCATCTCGCGCATATCAACTAGAGTACACTGGCGTATCCACTTACTACTCCAACCAGCTATATTTTTAGCATAGAGCCAACGCGAAAATTTCACAGGACTACGATAAAAGTGTTTGCAAGTTCCGCTTTTCCTCCTTGTAGTGCAACAGATGTAATTCATCGAGCAAGACGAGGAAAATTGCATGCGGTAAACTAGCAAGCCTGAGAGTTCCGACCAGGAAAGTTATCCACTCCCTCTGACTCCTTAGCTTTAATTTTGATGTCCACCGGAAACTAAAGCGCCAAGGATCTGCCTTGAGCAGCGCCGATCCTAATGACCCACGAGTCTTAAGTGGTGGGTCCATCCTAACAATGCAGCTCATTATCTAGCTCATCCCTTCCAATGTACTTGTCCATTAGGATTACAAATACGTCAGTGTCCCATCCATGTACATGGAACCTTTTTCCGCCCTAACATATGTGTACATAGGTTCCAGGGAGGGTCTCGGCACCTAGCCCTCCTTGAGGACAATAGGACAAGCATTAACAGCAGTGAACGTGCCGACTTTACACCCATTTGATCTCTTACAGATCTTATCCTATCTCTCCGTAGCTCCCAAAAGAAAGATTAGTCGAGGGATACATCAGTCTACGAATGTGTTTCGTTGTGAAAATGCAAGATAAGTCAATCAACTCGCCAGTTACGATGCATGAATCCACATCTCGAGAGTGAATGAGATTTAGTGGCCCATTCTCTGTCTAAGACTTTATGGAACACCGATGCTCTTCCTGATCACACCTGTGCATCTACACAATCCCACCTTCGTCCAACTTCTAATCAATTTCAAGCTTTGGCTACAATAAAACTCTATTGCGAATGCCGCAGACCATAATCAGCCTCCTTGATCACGTGAAACAATACTGATAGTCGGCAACTTTTGCCAAGGTACCTTCTTGAGCTAAATTCGAATTATCTCCCGTGGTAAACTAAGGCCACATCAACTATGCCGATCTGGAACATCTAATCTTGGTAACCTTATGCCTCACAGTAATACATCGACACTTTCGTGAAAAGTTTCCTATCCAGCACAACATAAGCTTCGACTGCTCCTCACACACTTATCGATAAACATTAACTGAGAATTTACGACCAGGCACAGCCAACAGTACAGAGACCCTGCACGATGTAGAAACTCATGAATTCCAACCACTTGGAATATGTAACAAAACTTGTAGATTTACGTGAAAGCCTCATCTAATGATCGAAGACAACTCACTAAATCATCTTTAGTTCCTACTCTTCAATAAAGTTGATAATTGGTGCTTAAAAGCCAATAGTCGTACGCATACATCACTTTGGATACGCTTAAGGGGTCAAAAGTTATGGTGTAAAATCCTTTATAGGCCGACCTTTGGGACACTTGCTCGAGACACAAGGACTTAGAGATAAGCTCAAGTTCAGAATGAATATGGTCGGGCTAAGTACAGCTCGACGTGATAATATCCGTCACTCGAGGACATAATGTCGATAAAATCTACTCGCACTGGTTTAGGCTCCAGTAGTTTCACTGTTATAAAGAGTAAGGAAAGTAATCATTTGTATTATCATTCCCCATCTCAAAGCATAAATAGGAATGAGGTTTATCTCATTGATTCTGAAGAAACTGTGTGTTCAAACCGTTTATTTCACAACAGAAGAACAACGGGTAATTTTACCTAGTGTATTCTACAGGGGATTCTGATTAGATACTATGCAGGAGTAAAGAGAATTTTGTATGAGATGACTTTTGGTACGGTAGAGTAGCTACTGTAATGATAGTCATTAGCGTTGTGGCTCCTCAATCGGACCCACACTGTCCAAGAGAACTTTAGTGACCTGTTGATATACTCCAATCGAGGAGCAAAGACTCAACCCCTTTTAGTAGTACTCCCAACGAACCTCCTGTTCTCGCTGTAGGGTTTGCAGAGCTGAAATTGAGCCTAACTGTCGTATCAAGTAGGCTACATAGGAGCAGGACGATGGATACTCTTGAGGAAGTTATGCTCACAGTAGGTCTCATTAATCGCTGTCGCGTGTGTTTCCGTGATATTTAAGTCTTATATCTATATTCTCGTATAAAGATAACTTGGTTATCAAAAATGAAAAGAGGTTGAGACCTTACATATTGCTCCAGACTTACTGCGTTGTTCACAGCCTGGTGCTAGAATTTTCTCTTATGATATATTTTCTCTCCTGCGAGAAATTACCATCTCGTTCTTCATCAGTCTCTCTCGCTGATTTCATTATCTCTATTTTATCGAATTCTAGTTTGGTCCACAATACCCACACATGCATTACACACTTGACACCCCACGGTTTTGTTCGGAGGACGAAAGCTGAACACCTGTCAGTGGTGTCCTCTACGAACCTGGGAGTGAAATATTCTCCCAGAGCCGAGATTCAGTCACGAAAAAGGGTGAATTTTGAGAGTTTTCGTCGAGTTGGCGATCGGGAGGAGTGGTGTTGGCTCATTTTTGGTCGAAAATCCGACTTGCAGAGATTTCACGACTGCACAACTCAACGAAATCAACCATCTAAACCCCAGATACGAACCGCAGACAGGCTATAATCTGTCTGATGTTCTTATTACAAAAACGGACACCTTCAACATCTTATTTTCTATTTCTCTGGAAAATCACTCCTAGCCAAAATCATCTCGCGGCCCTCTCCAAAATTATCTCACCACCTACCTAAGCAATCCCATACCTTCAAAAGCCAAATCACCAACTAAGAAGCAAGAGAATGTCCGACCCTACGCAACTGCCAGTCGCTGTTAAGGTACGGTCGAAATACTGGCCTTAAATTCGTCCTCACCTCTGCCAAGGGCACCAACAACTCGACCTACGACGAATCGCCACCGACGAAATACGTGCGACATTTCGCCGGCACACCAACAGAGCGTTCGACAAAGGCTGGGATACCGGTGCCTCGGTCTTGAGCTCTCAGTCGCGTTTTCGACCTCCACGGTTAGGAGTACGGCAGCGATGGGGCAAGGCCGGAGGGGTGGAAATTCTACAAAGTTTCTGGGATGATGATATCGGCTGAAGGATAGAGGGATGCTGTATGAAGGAACTAAAAGGGAACACAAACTGAGGAGGCCTTGGTGAGCGACTGGATAAGTGTTGTGATTGGCAAGTATTAGCCAAGATAGCCACGTGATACTCATCATGCACGGACTCTAGTATATCTCTGCTGCTCAGTAGACTTAGTAGAAGTAATACCCTTTCATATACATAACTATCCAAATACAACAATAAGGCCTCCAGTGAAGAAAACGACCCCTGGATGAGATAAGGATATGCTGAGATGAGCCAAAGCTGGGAATGATTCGAAAGGGAAAGTTAGAGAAGGCGAAGGTGTGAAGGGCTCGGGCGCGTGGTGGCCGAGGCTGAGGAGGAATTTGCGTTTCGGCGCGCCAAAAGGGGGTTTTCTGGACGGTTGGGCTTGACATGATTCAACACATGGGTGAAGTCTGAGATGGTCCGGTCATTTAGGTGGGACGAGGCACTTGTACTTTACGGTAGTTAACCTGACCTAGCCCGGCCCTACTCGTGCTTAAACTCCAGTAGGAGTGCGACGGTAGTCACCTCACCTGGCACGTTAATGAACAAGCCAAACCAAACCTATTATTTAGACTGCTAGCCTAACAGAAAAAACTGAAGTGTAAAAGATTATTCGGTGTGTATTATCGAATGAAGACTTGTGAGGATTTGTAAAAATAAATGATAGCAATATAATAGGAAAAGCTGTTAGAACTTACATATCTTTTTGCATCAGATTTTAATTTCGTATGCGGCTATCTAGCTATGATACAATATCAGAGAAGTGTATAATAGATGACTGAATTTACAAGTAGAGCACTCATGCCTCGGATTTCATTTGCAAGTACCACTGCGAAGTTATGGTAGCTTTTTCTTCACCACAAGTGAAGTAGGTACCCAGGCGACAGTAACTATACCAGAGATCACCTCCAGGAGGCGGACTACGGTACCTTCCATCGTTGATTTGTGTTAAGAGTGTCGTCTTCACTCTCGCAAGCGAAGCCGTGGCACGCATAAAACTCAACTTGAAAACTCCTTGCCAGAGTTCGAAATTCCACGCCCATCGAGATTGCATCCATCTTCTGCATCATCTTGAGAAATTTTACTGGTTCCTCTCACGTCCACCCCAAAGAACTTAGAATTTAGAATAATTGGGGCTATCAAGTAGGCCACGTTGTTCATACACACGTGACTTAAAATTATGTACTAAGTTTACTTCAGTAGTAGATTATATCACAGCGCTCTACAACTTCAATGACTAAGGGTTTATTATTTCCTTCACAAAAACACAATTATAAGTAGAATAGACGCACGACTCCCACGTTTTCACGGGTTGAAAGCCATCGAAATAAATTTTTAAATAAATTTTTTTCTAAATCATTTAATGTGTATAGAGTTATATAGCTATGACACATGACCGGTGCTATGTATACATATTGGATGACTCTTTTGACATTAGAGATACTCATACTCTGCATTTCATTCGCAAATACTACTATGAGGTATGCTTGCTTACACAAACAGTCGACTCTCCTCCGTAAGTAACCACCAAAGGGACATTTCAAAACCTTTGGTTATCCAAGCATGCCTTCGTCATCTTTTTATACCAGCGCCGCGAGAAATGTGGTTGTGTTTTGCCGGATTTGAACCAGCGATCTACTGTCTCGAGTGGGATATGAGTCCAAGCTATGCAGACTCTACTTGGCAGACCAACCAAGACGATGTACCGCCGCACCATCCAGCCACTGCGGTGTTTAAAGTGTCGCCTGCACCCTCGAATTCGAAGTCTTTGGGCGCACAAATCTCAGGTTGTAAGACTCTTTGTTAACCTTGAAGGGTTCACACCCATGATGATTATATATCCAGTGAATCATATTTTAAGTTTGTCATGATTTCTCTTACATCCATCTCAAAGAACTATGTTGTGATGGGCATGTTATACAGCTAGGAGGGGGACTATTCTCAACACCTGTCAGTGGTGTCCCCTGCGAACCTCCAGCTCTCACTGTAGACTCTGCAGAGCCGAGATTGAGTAACAAAGTCCTCACTTCGAAGAGGATTCCCAATCGCTTTCGCGGTCTGTATCGTCTTCATCTCTCAACACATTCCCCTATCACCATTATCATGAAGCTAACCACGATCAGATCAGATGGTAGGGTCGGAGCTCTACTCATCACCAAACCTTGATCACGGAGGAAAAGCCATCCGATGAGTTTCCGGAGCGTACCCAGCACCCGATACGGAGATGGTGGATTGGATCAAGTCGGCCTCGACTGTTAAAAAGAAGGGAGATAAAGATGAATATGCGCACCTCATGTGGTCCCGGTGTCTAGGCCTCGCCTGGCTGGGGCTGCAGGTTTTTTGAGACTTTTTCCCGCGCACGCAGTTTCCATTGCTACCATTTTTATTTTTTTGGGTAGAAGGTTCCGTGGAAAAGGTGGCTGAATTCCACGGGTAAATACTGAGCTGAATGGCTATTCATCAAGGGGAATATATCAATGATCTTTCAAGTAACAAAAGAGGATAGGAGCACTGTACAAGGTGTGGCCTGGGTCAGAGAGGAGCCCAATGTGCTAGATAGTCATAGACTCAAGTAGCACAATAAACACAAACACACATACAGCTAGGATACTTGCATGTACATAACGTGATTAGATGTTTACGCTGTTTTTGTAGTTCCTGTATCGTTTGGGATATTTGCAGGAGGAAGCTCATGTGGTCAGGATCCGACTAGCGGCCGCACATGAGTACAAGTAGCGAGTGCTCGGTTCGCGATCAGAAGAATACAATTAAAATACAGTGAAACTCAGATACACCCCCAACCACAACCTGAAACTCATTGATCTACATACTCGTACAAGGTCAGCATGCACAGTGACACTAACCTAAGCTCATAACCACAATCAACTACCTCCCAGGCTTTTGCGCCAAACCTTTTATTCCCCGGCGGGTGTAGATATAGGCGTGGGCTTGGGCGTGTGTATTTGGTGGTCCAGTTATTCACACTCGGGATTACATCCGCAAAAGGTACTAAGGTGCGTTTTTGTTTTCACAAACCATTAGTCACTACTGCTTTATTATTAAATACTGTCGCTATCCATCACATCCAACTGCCGGCGGAACATTGAAGAATAGTTGATCCGTTGGCTCACGTAAGCCAGACGCGCACGCGTGCAATGAGTTAGATATTGGCTTAGCAAACTAGAATAGAATAACAATGAATTTATATACATCCAGTTGTCTTTGCATCTACTAGTCACGTACGTGATATAAAACCCATCCAACAATTACAGATAATACTCTTGACAGTCGCCGTCTACGTTGGAAATCCAAATCTAGCAGCCTATTTGTGGTTTTCTCAGTGCCCCTTCCCTCTTTCCACCGACACTGTAGGGCTTCACGTCCAATAAGAGATTTTTCATAAGAGATAATTTGATAGTGTCACGGCTAGTCGAAAAGTGGCGTACGACAGAAGTTAGACTAGTCTTTAAGTATAATGTACTAAAGCTTAGAACATAGAACTCAACTTTAAAGCAGAAACAAACTAGGAAGCCTCGGCAGTTAGCAACTGCAGATTCCGAAACTTGGAGGGCGGCCACCTTTTACCAAAGTAAAGAGTCTGGACGGCAAAAACTGAGTTTTCAAGGCTCACCATCCTTCCTACACCGTAACCAGACAAGGGCTCAAAGCAGTTTGGCGATGCAAATACAAAGTGAGCACATGGAGCTTAATTCGTATTTACACAGAAGAAAAGTACCCGGAGTGTTAAGTCCAGGTTGTCCTTGCGGCTACCAATCACAGGGCCCCAAGCATATGATTATGTCCTGCCCCCGATGGTCAAATAGCAGAGCTGAGATATGGAGACAAGCCAAAGATCGGTCCTACGAAGCGATGATAAACAATCCTGGAGACATCAAAAGGATAACACAATGGATCCTAACTCATGGTTGGATAGAGCAATTCCAGACGACAAAGGCGGTCGAAATGCTGCTGATGGAAAGGGACAGGTCAAGTAATGCTAGGGGCAATTAGAGATAATCTGGTTGGTTTTCATTTTTATTTTTTATTCATTTCATTGTCCTTTCCGAGTTTAAAGCTATGTAAGACATGCAGGTCCTCTCTGCCCACAGGCCAAGGATACCTATACCAGTAATATATCCCTCTCTATGCCTCCCATACAGCTCCCCTCAAAAAGTACTGCCCCTCACAAGTCCTCATTCGATAATACACTCAGAGGAGCCCTTTGCCCTTCATCATCTCCCCTCTCCAGCCAACGAAATGATGACCATTTGCGGGTGTATGACAGCCGGGAAGAATCGCAAAAACTACTGGGTGTGGAGCTCTCCTAATACCGACATTAGGACTAAATCCGAAGACAGAGTGACCCTCTGCCTTTCTAGCCTCCTTCCTGAAAGTCGTGCTGAAATGTCAGAAAAGTCTTGATAGAGCGTAATAGCTGTATAGTAGCTTAGCCCAACTTCTTTTACGCCGTCCAGGGCGCTGGGGAGTGCCGTTGACTCATCGACAGAAGAAGCCCTCCTGGCTAATTAGTCGAAATCTTGGTCTTGGCGCCCACAAAAAATCCAAAGTTGAAAACTCCTCGAAAATGTCAGTCCCAGCATGGTCTTCAGAGACCTATTCCCCCTCTCGCTCCATATCTCAGCCGCCTGTCCTTCCTCAAGATGTGAAGCCCCATTAGAGCAGCAGTCCCCCATTAACCAAGACCCCAACTTTGTATATTATGACTTAATTTCCTCCTTGCGGGTATACGTAGCGTCGTAAATTTGTAGTGAGTGATGGCCGGTGATGAATGAGGCAAGCTCCTGTTTGTAATTTGGGTGACGCCTTTATCGGTCGGCGAGGCGAGATGATATGTGGTTAGATCGGGGTTGAGGACTCAGAAGATAATGGTGAGTGCTGCATGATTGAGAAGTCGTCAAATGGAGATATGCATGTTTTGCTTTGGACTTCGATTCGGATGCGATTCTTATTGGCTATCCCAGATATGCAGAGCATACTGAGCGATTACACCGGCACTACTGGATGGTGAAGAATTAATATTTGCCGGCTCTGGTTGGTTAACATTGATGGTAATATAGTGTACTGTTCTTCCTGAAGAATAAATGTCAAAACTAAAGATAACAAGCAGAGAGGTGTGGGGGGTTTTCACCATAAAGATTTCCTGCCGTGTAAAGATTACAGATTGTAGACACCTGCATGGGCCTATAGGGCGCGTTATCAGGACAGTGAAATCGAATTCAATATAATTCAACTAAATTACGACGAGGTTGTACGATGTAAGAAAGTAGTGTGGGAGAAAACTTATAAATACAATGATTGCGTGAGGGAAGTCCGGGCTCAGTGCCAAGGCCCTTGGTAACAGGACGGATACCTATTGCCGACTGGAACCTGAGGCACCCTTGTCGATGAGTGATAGTGAAGCCGTCACAATTGGTGAATGAATTTTGGCAGAGATGGGCTGCGTGTGTGACGTGCTCCGAGAGGTAGCTAGCATAGGGATCTAGGTAGAAAGTGATCTGAAGGGTTTTCATACGTAATCCATAGATATCCTAAGTCCCATACAATGATTTTGCATCTTTACGTGTAATTGGTTGGTGATATCTTCATGGTAGACAGTCCATAAGCTAGTTTTCCCACTAAACCGTTATAGCTCGACTCGGTCACTGCCATAATTTATCGTACGCGTGTGTCCTGTCCTTCGTTCCCGAATAATTTTATTAGGTATTTATACCCCCTCCAAACTTACAGAGTGCTCCCGAGAATATACTTGCCTCTAATCTTTCTCTCAAATATATTTAAATGATGATGTGAGATGACTCGTTGAAGTTAAAAAGTTCATTACGCACGTGACATCTGGCAAGGCTAGAACTAGAAATAGCGATTGTTCATGCATAGATTTACAACACATTCAAGGTAACCAACACCATGCCCACCGTCAAGGGAGGCGTATGGACCAATATCGAAGATGAAATTCTCAAGGCTTCCGTTTCCAAGTATGGACTCAACCAATGGGCTCGGGTCTCCTCTCTTCTCGCGCGAAAAACGCCAAAACAGTGTAAGGCTAGATGGAACGAATGGCTCGATCCTGGAATTCGCAAAATCGAATGGAGCAAAGAGGAAGATGAGAAGTTGCTTCATCTAGCCAAATTAATGCCAACACAATGGCGGACTATCGCACCAATCGTTGGCCGAACTGCAACTCAATGTCTAGAGCGATATCAACGACTTCTCGACGAAGCTGAGCAAAAAGAAGTCGCTGAACTCGGACTTGGTGGACCTGATGGAGGAGAGACAAAGGCCCCCTCAGCTGATGATGTCCGACGCCTACGACCGGGAGAAGTTGATCCCGACCCCGAGTCAAAGCCTGCCCGACCAGACACTATCGATTTAGATGAAGATGAGAAAGAGATGTTGAGTGAAGCGCGGGCACGATTAGCTAATACACAGGGTAAAAAAGCCAAGAGAAAAGCTCGCGAGAGACAACTGGAAGAGTCGAGGCGGTTAGCTGTTCTACAGAAACGTAGAGAGCTAAAGAATGCTGGAATCAATATCAAAGTTGTCAATCGGAAGAAAGGCCAGATGGACTACAATGCAGATATTCCCTTTGAAAAAAAGGCAGCCCCGGGTTTCTATGAGACAGAGGAAGAGGTTCTGAAAAACGAGTTGGAAAGAGAGGCTTTTGATCCAAGAAAACAACAAGTTATAAATAAACGAAAGGTTGAACAAGATAATGATACTGATCGGAAGAGGAAGAAAGGAGAGAAAGAGGCCCCATCAGCATCATACCAAGCTGCCATGAGAGCAGGTCAGCAGCAAAAAATCCGAGAAGCCGAGCAAAGCAGTAAGCGAAGGGCTCTAGTTCTTCCAGCCCCACAGGTTGGTGAAGGAGAACTAGAAGAGATCGTCAAGATGGGAATAATAGGGGAGAGAGCTAAAACAGTAGCCATATCCAGCGAGAACGACGCCACAAAGGGGCTAGTCAACACATACTCTGCTATCAATGGAAGTGCACCGATTCGAACCCCTAGGGCGCCAGCACAGGAAGACTATATTGCTAATGAAATCCGAAATATTAAGGCGCTTACGAACACTCAATCATCATTACTTGGAGGCGAAAACACACCTTTATATGAAGGGGCTGGTAGTACCGGCTTTGATGGAATCAACCCTCGTAAACAGCAAATCGTAACGCCTAATCCCATGGCTACTCCATTCAGGCCGATGGCAAACGCCGATACAAATTCAATGGGACCTCCTAGGTTGCCAGGACAAACACCAATAAGAACACCTCGAGATGGGCTTGCTCTAAACAAAAGTGGAGAAATACAGCTCATAGCTAGTACCCCTCAGAACATGAGACTCCAAGAGCTCGCACTAAAACAAAGAGTCAAATTGGGTCTCTCATCTCTACCCAAGCCCAAAGATGCGGAATGGGAGCTGGAACTTCCAATAGAGCAAAACGAGCCGAGCTTAAGTACACAAGACCTAACAGAAGATGCTGAAATTCGAGATCTACGAAACCAAAAAATTAAGGATGAGGAGGAAAGGACGAGCTTTCTACGAAGAACTCTAGTTGTTCAAAAGGGACTACCAAGACCAACAACAAAAAATATACACAGTCTACTTGTAATAGATTCAATTGGGACAGATGTAATTGAATCTGCAATTATCAGAGAGGCAGCTCTGCTACAGGCTCATGATGCGATGCAACCCTCGAGGCCAGACACCAAATTTCCTGATAACATTGAACCTCTAGAGCTATTAAGTGACGAATTACTCGCAGATGCGCGCTCGCAACTGGCAGATGCCGTTGCTGAAGAGAGTAAACAAGGTAAACCTCAGATATCCGATGAATTATGGCAAAATTCCCAAAAATATAGACTTCTCCCTCGTATATACTTTGACATTAGTGATGAGGAGGAGCAAGGAATTTTTAGAAAAGTGTTTGATGTAAGTTTAGCGTCTTCAAGATCTAGGCACTGCTAACCTTTTAAAAGTCTGCACATGAATCACTTATCTCCTCTGCAACCAAAAATAACAAAATAGAAAAGAGACTCGCCGTGCTTTATGGCGGCTACCAGAATCGCGCAAAGACCTTGCGACAGAAAATAATAGATGCATCTGAGGCATTAAGTAAGGTGCGGCGGGCTCTGAACTCATTCCGCATACTCAAAGCCAATGAAGAGATTGCCATCTCCAGGAGACTCGAGAGCCTGAGGGCAGAGGTCTCTCATGTGAGTCGTCGGGAGAGGGAAGCTCAAGATTTGTATCGGGAACGTACGCAGGAATTAGCTACATTGGATTTAGGGCGGGAAATAGCAGCTGTTACGAAATGAATAGATAAAAGATAGTTAATTTCATGTACACTTGTAATATCATAATTGGCTTATTTAGATACAGCACAGGAGGTACCATAGATTATAAATTCCTCAAGCGGACGGTGAAAGACATCATTGAGCGCTACTGATGTATTCTGGAAAACAAGAATCATTATTCTAAACTGAGATGATCTCGTCCCATCATTATCTTGTGAAATTGCTTTAGCTAAGCTCTAACCTTCATCTTGTATATATTACACGGGAAAATGGAGACAAGACTGAAAAAGAGTTGCAGGGCACCTGCCATGACAAGTCAAGTCCAGTATAATAGATGCTATATGGATAGATTATTACGATGTCTTTTTCAGCATTGTTTGCATCGTAAAAGGTTTGAAAATTCTTAAAGCATACGCAACGCATGATACGTAGAGAAGGGTGATATACAATCTTCAGCTGCCCGCCTGGAAGATAGTGTACGAGAATGATATTAGTCGACCTCAGTCGGTGCTGAGATGCATGCCGTTCAACCATAAGTCTAACATTAAAGATTAAGGCGAGGGTAGGGTCTCAATCGCTCGATGGTGCCGCAACTTGATGGCAAACACTGGGCACTCGTCATGGGGCCGTCATCTTCGGACCTGGGAGTGAAATATCGTCTCTGAGATGAGTTCAGACAATAATTGCAGTTCTAAAGAAGTTGGCCTACGAGGCGATGATTCAACACTCTTCGCCACATCAATCTCTAACTCCTAATAGAATCGGCTCAGACCAATGCCTCATCAAGCCTGCATGTGCGACCCAGTACATCTTCATTCAAATAACCGCATTTCTCGTCAAATCAGCCTCTGGCCTCAAATAGTCTCTATCTGCACACCGACGAGAATATGAATACCAGCAGGAGGTCCAAGCTGCGGCGCACAAATCTGAGAGACAGATCTTCGGGATGTGCGGTTGAAAAACGAGGAAACTTGGAAAATATTATGCCGAGGATAAAAAGATACTCAAAAGAGGTGGTATTTCAATTTTTGGAGAGGAGTTTTTCACTGTGAGCATCATGTGCTCCACGACTTTACGAAAGTGCAGACAACACTATGAAAACAGTTGTGATTTTATGGGGCAGTAGAACATCTTTTGGGCCGGTCTACCAAGTAGATTCAGAATAGCTTGGATATCATTGCCGCTCGAGCCGGGAAATGCCTAATTTATTTCTACAATATCCGAACTTGTATCCTATGGTGTTCATGGACGCGACTCGACTGTCACGCGTAAGCAAATACACCCCAGAGTGGTGTTTGTGAATGAAATTCAGGGTCTGAGTGCCTTTGAAGGGAAAAGGGCCATCCAATATATCCATAACAGTGATTATACATTAAAGCCATACAACTTTATTCAGATTAAATTATGTTAAAATACGGCCCTGTAGCTGTCACTCGTCAGGAGGCACGAATTCTCATTTTCTTTGATTACTGCGGTAGTTAAGCCTGGCAATAAGCGTGGGATCTTCTAGGAGGCTTTTTCTAATGCCTATCTATTCTCAACACCATCAATGGTGTCACCTACGAACCTCCAGCTCTCACTGTAGAGTCTGCAGAGCCAAGATTTAGTAATAAAGTCTCTACTTCGATGAAGATTCTCATCCGATTTCGCGGTCTGTATCGTCTTCATCTCGCAACACATTCCCCTATCACCGCTATCATGAAGCTAAACGCAATTAGATCAGATGTTAGGGTTGAAGCCCTACTCATTGCCCACCCTTGATCATGGGGGAGCCATCCGATGAGTTTCCGGAGCGTACCCAGCACCCGATATGGCGAGGGTAGACCGGATCAAGTCGAACTCGAATGTTACAAAGAAGCGAGATATAGATGAATATGCGCACCTCATGTGGTCCCGGTATCTAGGCCTCGCCTGGCTGGGGCTGTGGGTTTTTCGAGACTTTTTCCCGCACAAAAATGAATGAATATTTATTTGTGACGGGCACAGCCCTAGCACTTATATATCATGACACGGGGAAGACCAGCTTTCCCGAAGACTAAATACGACGATAACTCAGTTTGAAATTTGGACCACCCATGTAGCGGGTGTATTAGCTGATACCACTCGAGACCTTTGCACTAGGGACTCTCACCCTTCCCTCAACCGTTAGTATCCACCAAAAGAAAAATAGGAAAAACCTTTGGCTACCCTAACATGCTTTTGTCATCTATTATATACCCGCCGTCCAGTGCACGATGGTCGCATGACTACCATTTTTATTTATCTTTGGGGTTAAGGTTCCGTAGAAAAGGTGACAGGGTGAGTGAGTGTTTTTTATTGTACTACTTGAGTCAATAATTATCTACGATAGTTGATTCTTTTCTAACCCAGGTCACACCTTATATAGTGCCAAAAAGAAGGCTGAATACCATGGATAGATACTGAGCTGAATGACTATCCATCGCCGGCAACATATTAGAGATCCTTAAAGTAGCAGAAGAGGACAGCAGCACTGTACTAAGTGTGTCCAATATTAGAGAGGAGTTCAATGTGCTATATGTTTTATGACTCAAGTAGTGCAATAAACACATACTGCCTCAATTTATGGCTTTATAGGGACTAGGGGCGCTTTCTACACACAGTACGAGGATACTAACGACCCTAGTAGTAATTTTTTATATCTCCTTTACTTTTCCCTTACAACATTATACTTCATAAGTCTTTATTATATTGAGTACTTGGGAAGCCTTTTGCTCTTCATTATCTGCTATTTATGACTAACAAAATGAAGACATTTCGTGGATATATTGTGGAAAGGAAAAGTTCATTATTAAATGAGCACGAAGCTCCCACAGTACCGACATCAGGAATCATTCTAAAGATATAACTACACTCTGAAGTATCCCTGAGAACGGGTAGCCGGGCACCAACGACTTGTGTATACCTCATAGAATCACTCTCTATCTTCTAAGCCTCTTTTAGATTCCTTCCATCGTTGCTATCTTGCGACGGACACAAGGTCATGTCCAAATACCAGAAATATTTTAGCAGAGCTTATACGCGGTATCGTAGTCTAACCCAACTTATTTGTGCCAGCTTGGGTAGTGGAGTAGATGTAGACTTATTAAAAATGTAGGCAATGCCGGCTAGTACTGAGCTCTATCTCAGCTCTGCAGACTTTATGGCGAAAGATGGATGTTCCAGAACCACACCTCGCACAGATATCTAGCCCTCCTCGCACGCTTCTTTGGATTAGTTTCCGTAGTTACTTGTTGATATTAGCCACGCTTCTTAGCCTCTAATATTACAGGTATAGCTCTCCCCCGCGTGGTTCGGGCGTCTTTGAGGACAAAGCCGATTCAGATTAGCAATTCGTTAGCTAGCGAAAAGCCAAACGGTCTCGGGCTAGCATCAACTTTTTTAGTGCTATGCCTCACTGCTCGATGGCGAGCACCACCGATGGATCTGCAATTGTGTTCATCCAGTTCTTCGAGCCGACAATGACGGGGCTCTGACTTTGCTTCTGTTTCGGTTGTGCTGGCGTGGGTTCCTTGCTAACTTTGGCTAATTAGGAGCGCTTGGAGATACTGACAATGTGAAGTCGGGAGTGTAGATTGCCCAGGGTGCGGATCAGTAATCTGCCTTTCAAATTGGTTTGTTCTTTAACGCGCTAGGTAAAGTGACTACCGCAGCACTCCTACTGGATTTGATGACGATGATAATGATCTTTATTTTACGTCTAGCGAGCCACACGCTTGAAGCGTGGCCCTATTAAGTCCCTACTGAGACAAAAGACGTCAGGGTCTGATCCCTGTGTCACGGACGAGGACGGAGACAAGGACGAGGACGAAGACAGAAGCTGATAATGAGGACGAGATATTTAGATTAATAATTAGATTCTAAAACATGAGTAATTTACAAGACAAAAAGCTATAGTACACATACAGTCCTAGAGCTTCCTTAAGTACACGAGCTTCAATACTATAACCAAGGGTGTAGTAGTTTACAGCCATAACACAGTAACTAACTAGTACTCTGAATGGCAACTGTTGCTATCACAACACTGTAACCATTACAATACCTAAATTGTGTTATTGTATGCACGTCATAACTCGGTTGCCTGGGTGCGACACGACATCCCAGTGATGGTTTGTGACACCCTGGGCTTCTACATATTTGAAAGGAAAGGAAAAAAAACCAATACGAGACTTTATATACATAGAAAGTGCATTTACATAGCTACTTCACACAGATTGTTAAGTTCTTATATGGTTATGTAATGATTGCTCGGCGCCATCCCCTGCGTAGGTCAGTCCACATTCCCTGTTGGCCTCCAATGCCGAAAAATAAAATTTGTTGCTCCATTGAGTTACTTGTCTTTCTTCTTTAGCTAGCTCGCTTAAGGCATCCATTGAATCTCCGAGGTATTTTATGGGCATATCTCTGAAAAGAATCGAGTTTCTTGTAGCCATTACCCGAATTTCCACTCCCCTTCATGTGTGCCAAGAATGAACGGGATCATCTTTGAAGGTGGACCTTGCATAAGACGTGATCTTCTTTTCCCTATGTGGCAGAAGAAAAAATGTAGTGGGGCCTTTCTTCGGCCACATCGGCAGTATTTTGGTGCATTCTCGTGGTTGAAGCGCTCGTAGTAGTTGGCAAAATCGCCATGTCTAGATCTAGCTGCTAGGATACGGACTAGAGTGGTACGCGAGAGGGTGAGTTCTTTAGGCCTAGAGGGAGCTGATATAATTCCTAGTTTCTCATAGCTTATGTGCTAGGGGAGAAGATTTCTCCATAGTCTGCCAGTGGCTTGCGTTGTGGACTCATTTGCCCAGCGCTTCAGACCAGCATATGAGAAAAATAGGTCATCTGAAGTTGGTAAATGGCAGCCATTTTTCGCGGCTTTATCAGCGGCTTCATTTCCAATTATGGATGTGTGGCTCGGAACCCATCGAACCCGTATTTGGCCCCGTCTAGTGTGGGCAAGCCGAGGGCGTTCTTGCCACTTGGGTGTCAAGGTGAGGAACTCATCAAATTGC